GAATGACGCTGCGTCGTAGCGCAAGATACTTATAGGGTGGGTGGATTCCCTGACGTAGACGTCAAGATCACCAGCCAATCAGGATTGGCGTAATGAGATTGATGCTTCTGTTTGCTCCGCGATGAGGCGCATCCCATAGTGAGACATCGAACGGAGTGTTATGAATGAGAACGCAGAAAGCTTGATCTCCACGGCAAAAGTTAATGGAAGTCTTTATTTTTAAATTACTTTGTCACAAACTTGGATGTCTGGTGCCCTTTTACGAATACAATGGTTTAATGACCTCATGAATAAGCGTCTGTGCCTCATACAGTTTCTATGTTTCTCATTAAAGCTGCATGTACGGTAAAATGGTGGATATTCAAGGACGTATCCGTCGTAGAATACAACTGGAAAGAATCAATGCAGGTTTGTTTTTTCTAAAGTTTCACTGCAGTTCATTTATAAAGAGATGGGGCGGAGGTATATTCAGCCAGCAGAGTGTTATAAAGAGCCCCTCTGTGAGACCACCTCAAACTGGGACCAATCAGATAACAGGAAGGAACTAAATGAGATGATGACTAGAGAGAGGAAAATAAATGTCCATTTAGAGGTTGTAACCTGCGATGGTACAAATCCAGTAATGGAAAAATGAAAACCCATCTGTCTGGGTTTATTCGACAAAGGTAAAAGCAATATCTAATATCACATTTTTGCTAAATAAAAAATGGAATTACAAAAAGCAGACCCAGGATTCTGCTCCTCCAACGTCTATCCAAACTACATATTATATTTCACTGACCTGCAGACAAGCCACTCCTATTCCCACAGCGCCGATGACCAGCAGGTGATTGGCCAGAAACTGCTCCAGCTTGGTGATGCAACCCCCCTGCAGAGGCAAATTAAAATCATATATTAGATTATGCATACGATTGCACAGATAGACATACAGCTTGCACAGTCTTCAGAGCTTGCTTTGTCTGCAGCTCTCCATGGCTAACTGGCAAATGGTTGCAGTGAACAGTAAGACATCCGGCAGGGAACAAGTGGGTTTATTAAAGCCAGCCTATTAACTGCAGCAAAAAATCTGAAGTTTGACATACAGTAAGTATAACACAGAGGAATGGTTCATGGTAGATGGACTGTGTTTATATAGCGCTTTATCCAGTCTTTACTACCCCTCAAAGCAATATCTTTCACAATGCCTGTTTAATGTATAACGTAGAACAGGGGTTCCCAACCTTTTTTCCCAAGAGCCCCCCAAAATGACTCCTGTTGGAAGTTGTTTGAATTCATCAGTTTTAATCAAATGTTTAAACTGATGAATTCAACATTTTAGACCATTTAGTAGTAAGGGTTGGAGTAGTTTAGTATGGTTTTTGGTTATTGTGGAGTATATTTTTGTAATGTTTCTGAACAATACACAATCTCTCTCAATTCTATATGTATTTATGATATGTATGTAAATACTGTCTGGGTTCTCAAGCTTCATATGGCAAATTGGGGTATCCCATTTCACAGGTCTCCATGTCTTATGATTGTATTATATTTAACAAACTTGTGAATAAATGATGATGATGAGTCATCATTCACACCGCATTCATACAAAGCAACTTGCTCAAGTAAGCTAGCATTCACAAACATGTGTTAGCCCTGCCATCGGGAGCAACTTGGAGTCAAGTATCTTTCCCAAGGATACATGGATGGAAACTGAAGGTATTGATACAAAATAGTATAAAAACGTTTAGGCAGCATGAATAAGCATTGGAAAGCTCAGTCATTTCATCAGATAAATGTTTCAAACTACAGGGCTTCTCTGTTGGTGTCACTATTTGGATGCTACATGAGTGTGACTGAAAAAGGAGCATGTGCAGTCCACTGACCTCCACCTTGTAGATGTTGGAGGGGTGGTCTCTGTTGCCACAGTGGGGGGTGATGGTCTTGCAGCAGCTGTCGGGCACCAGCCTGTCCTCAGCCTGCTTTGATGAAACGTACACACTCACCATCCAATCACGGGAGTTGTTGCTGCCACAGCACTTGAACTGCAGGGAGAGAAAAAAAAGGGTTTATTTGACTATAGCCCACACTGTTAAAAAAGCACAAATACCTCCAGCTAAATCTCTACATCATTATAACTACTTTATGTATGGTAGCTGCAGACAGAGTCAAGGGAAACAAATCCATAACAAAGTACCACTACGCCAATATATACCGGTATTCTATCTGAAGGACAGCGCATCATACAATCTAAAATATAGTCCATACGTCCTGTTGTAGTCTGTCCACAGCCAAAGTGATAGCCTCCCGTCCTGGCTGGGCGTAGTTATCTGTCATAGTCTGGTTGAGATGCTGCTTCAGCTCCTCACTCAGCTGGAAAAGAGGAAAAAGGGAGACAGCAGACACACACAGTGAAAAACACAATGAATGTTGTGACCACAAGCAGCTTCATTTAGAACACAGGAAACACATCAAAGGCAAACATTTGCAGGAGAAAAAGACTTTAAAGGCAGGTGAAACTTGACAGAAGTGAGGGTGGATCAGGACGAGATATACCAGTGGCAACTCATCTGTGAGAGATGCAGACGAGATCAAAAAAATAGACTTTAAATATAGCCTGTGATGTGCGCATATCGGTGTGCTTTGATACACACACAGAAGAAAAACACGAGACAGGTAGACAGGATGAGAGCTCTATCCTGACAGTGATTCTATCCTGTGCTGAACACTCTTCCATTATCATAAATCTCTGAGCCTGCAGAGAGCACGGCGCTCTGACTGAGACAGCCAGATGTGTGTGAGATAACAGGATCCTAAGAGCTGAATTCAGCACAGGTGGCAAACAGGAAATCCCACACACATATAAAAAAGGAAGAGCAGTAGAAAAGCTAAAAGATACACTGTAGAGAAATGTAGGGAAAGCTTTTCAAACAGATGAAAAATGACATAAAAATGTCATTAAGTTAGCTGACTTCACTTAAAACAGGAGGTTACATGAGCCCAGAAAACACATCAAACAAATGGATTCATCCATATAGTCTCATTGGTAGGCACATGGCATTGCTATCATCAAATGTAATGCGCCTGCATGGCAACTGTTCAGCTTCCTAACTCTTGGCCATAGAGAGGTAAGTTAGCTCCCCTGAAGAAGAGCAACTGCTCTCTAACTGCAGAGCTTTTACTTTATTGCAGTCAGTGCTGCCCCTGTAACACTGTGGTTGGACCCCCCCTGTGGTCCCCTTCCAAAAGACTACATCCATGATAATGCAATGTGTGATAGTGTTGCAGCCAATACTGCGCTGGAACAGGAATGTTTTAGTTAAATATATTTAAACTAAGTTACTGAAACAAATTATGTTACTAAAACAAATACCAACCAATATTAAGAAATAAAAAACATTTGTCTGCATAAATAATGTATTTATTACCCCAAACTGCATTTAGGTTCATGGTAAAACTAAACTTGTCACCAAGTCATTGACACAAATGATGTTATTAAAACAAACATTTCAAGTTGAAATCTTAAACACTATCTTTGTCTCCCTTGTCCAGCATTTAACGTGCCCCTCTCATTCAAAAACTGCCCCCCCCAGTAAAGAAGTGATCTACACTCAGTCATTGTAACACACTAAACTAAAAAGCGATTCAAACGCTTTTTCAGAAAAAGCGCCTAACTGATGTATTTTATCCGCTACCAAAAAGAAAAGAAAACTTACCCTCTGGTAGTAGACATAAGCCAGTACTCCAGCCACCAGTTCAATCAAGAAGATCACCAGCAGGCAGAAGAAATACTGTGAATGAGAAACAGGACGGACAGGGAGAGAGTACAAAAGGAAGCAATTCAATTCATTAGACAGAGAAAGTCACCTTGATCCAGACATGTCCGCTTTATAGTCATCACCGCACTTCTCCACTGACCCAACTCATTTGAGAAAGTTGCTCACACTCGTGACGGCTCAATAAAAGCGTCCATCAACTGCCATGGCTCTGCATCTGTCACTTTTATCACAGATGGCAAGGCTCCACAAAAAGAGACAAAGCAGGAATGTATTTGACAGCCCGTGGAAGCAGATTTCTCTAGGGTATCTTCTAAAGATGTCAACGCTGCTTGAAACCCACTAATGATGTATCATAATTACCTCCAAATCACCATCGCAGCAGAAACTAAATTAAAGGTGATCTAAATATTTATCACCACAACAGCACAAATTCGCATTCTTGTGGAAAACAAGGAATAAAATGGTTTAATTACCTCATAAATAAGCGTCTGTGCCTCATCAGCCAAACACAAAATATTCAAAGAAAAAAACAAACAGTGGTGGCTCTAATTGCTTGGAAGCACAATTGTACGTACTGAAAAACAGAGAATACAGAACATGACAGATACAAGTTGTATAGTACTATATACAGACTAAATAACACAATCACAAACTTTTTGATAAAATGGTTGATTAGCGCACACAAACATGGGTCATTGCCATATAATGCAAACACAGGAAAACAACTAATAAGGGCCAACTGTGGCAGAGTGGGACGGTAGCAACAGTGACGCTTCATTGAGACCCTTATGGAGACACAGATGCTACTACCCAGCCTGTCTGAGTTTGGAAAGCAGCGATGCTACACTACCTGTCAGACAAACAGACGCAGGAGAGCAATAATCTCTCTGAATTAATATGTAAGACACTTCAGCGAATGTTCCCTTCTGCTTTGCAGTAATTATGAACTGCAGAAACACAGCCTGCTCGGTAACTCTTGGTTACAAGATGTCAAAAAGAAAAACTGCGAGCTTGCTGCCCACACAAAACTTTAACCCATACTTATTAATCTCCCAAAACATAGCTCTAAATAGTAGATAAATACAGCTGACATCGAACCAAAAAGGTACCACAGAGTCCAAATCCTCAACACATCAAGCTCTGTGTCTCTCCTATAGCTCCATCCATTACATCAGATAGAAAGATCTATAATTAGTCCTGCAGCAGTGACCATTAACCTCTCTCCCACTGGGTCCTGTCTCTGTGAAATAATGAGGACAGTAAGGTCCCTGTCAGAGCCATTTGTCATCATCCAGACCTTCACCCAGGGCGGGAGTGGGGGGGGCGTCATGTTATGTCGTTGCATAGTTGGGAAGAGAAGGCAAAGCTTTGTTAACAAGAAGGCGAGCACCCAGCTAGCTTAGTGTAACCATGGACTGGACCATCAGACTTTAACACATCGGTTGTAAAATGTCACTTATAATTATTATGTTTACTGGCTGCTATCTCTTGGTTAAACTATTTAAAAATGTAACACAATCTTCTGCATGCTACACTTATTAAAAAAACGTTTACTGTACTTATTGTTGTCCACCTGGATGGGTACAACTGTAATTTCATTTGTGTAATTTCTATCTCTAATATTTGATGCATAATTAATATGTTGCCTCTTTACTGTTGCTGTAACAACGTAAATGTTTGAGAATGAATCCGCGGACTGGTAGGTGTTACTGCCGGGCCGCGAAATAGCTGTGAGTTTATGGTAATATTTGCAGAATTATAAATATTTAAAAATATTTTCTAAAAAATATTTTTTTATTTTTTTATTTTCGCACCTATACCAGTCATATTATTTCATCCAAAACATACAAAATGAATCAAAATTGGTTAGCATAAGGTCTCAGCCTCTCGTGCACAGAGAAAGTTATCGGTGCGCCAATAGGAAGTAGAGCACACAGGAGACAACCGTTTAATCGCAGACTGTTGTGTTTATGTGGGGAAATGCAGTGCATACATTATTTGAGATATATTTCGAACTCGGACTTCATTTTAAAGGACATTGCGGCCAGGGGTGTAGAGCTATTTTTTTTATTTGTAAAACCTCCTTCACTTCATGAAATGGCTGCAGCATCAGGAGGCAGCCTCTGAGAAGTGCAGCACCAGCGCGTACACACCGCCTTCACTGTGTTCCCCACTGCTGTCGGAGTGCACCGGAACGAACGCCCCGGACGTTATTATGGCTGGCAAACAAGCCCAGGGGTCTCCCTGACATTTCAGTTATATCAATATGTGTACAGTGGTCCTAATTTGTTTTAATTGTATCATGGTTTTAAACGTTGTTAATATGTTTTGGATGCATATTGTTCTATTATTTGTTCAGGCTGTTACATACAATTAGCCACTGTTGCCACCTATATTAGGCTATATTATATATTATATTAATATTTGTAAAGCGGTCCTAATTTGTTTTAATTGTATCCTGGTTTTAAACGTTATTAATATGTTTTGGATGCATATTGGTATTTCTTCAGGCTGTTAAATACAATTAGCTTCTGTTGCCACCTGCTGGTGAATAAATATTAAAATCAGCTAAAATTCACAACCGGTCCGCACATTTTTTTTAATGTATCTGCCGGTCCTTGGCACAATAAAGGTTGGGAACCCCTGCCCTATATTATATTCTGATTCTGATTGTGGCATACATGATCATTTAAATAATATTACAGCTGCACAGTATTTCAAACATGTGCAACTTGAGGAAACACCAACCTTTCTACATCAGTTCTAAGCAGAAAATAAAGAAAAAGGTAAAGTTAATTATTTTTTATTTTATACTAATTGCAATACAGTCCTGTCTACATATTAATCTTCATCACCTTCGTCAACATTAGAGATGCAGCCAACTTGTTCTAATAAAGATGACTCGTGTTCAGTGCGAGTACCCAGGTCATGGACCATCAATGGATCGAGAGTGTGAGCATTAATGTCTGATGGTGATAATGTTTCATTCATCAATCAAGGTATGATGTGATACTACTGTATGTCCTAATATTCATTTGAAGTCATTTCTGCCAAAGGACATGGCGATATGTGAATTCAGTCTCCAACCTAGAGTGCTTTTGACCAAGTTGCTAGAGACTGTTCAGTTACAGTGCAGCTAATTGAGACATTTATTATCATCTGCACATTGAAATTCTTATGGTACGTTCAAACTGAGCGCGAAGCGACAAAACCACCCCGCCTCAAAAGACACGGCCACACTTAATTCACGATAGTTACATTTGTTTAACTCGGGCGATAAACTAAAAGCCAATCAGCAGTGAGAATCTCAGCCTGTAGTCTCTGGCCGTTTCTCAATGTCGAGTATACCTGCTGCAGAGACACTATTTCAAGTATACTACGTCATCGAGTGGCGCCGAATGCTGGGCATTTAACATGCATTTAAACAGTCCTTCGGCGCCACTTGATGACGTAGTATACTTGAAATAGTGGCTCTGCAGCAGGTATACTAGACATTGAGAAACGGCCACTGACGTTGTTGAATCAAAAACACAAAACACCGGATCTTGGCTCTGGGCGGCGGCACACAGTCTCTCATATTTATCAGTATAGTTATTTTGGCATTAATTTGATTTGTGTATTAGAATTAAATCCTGGCATAATAAATTCATTTTGTTGTTGATATCTACATGGAGAAAAGCCCCGCCTCCTCGCCAGTGTGTTTAGTTTGAATGACGCTAGTAAAGACAAATGATGCGGTGAAACTTGCGCACTAAAGCGATGCAAATCTTCTCTTCTTGTCTAGTGTGCACCTTTAGAGCAAACAGTTCTTTCTTTTTATTGTGCATTTGTAAGGGCAAAACATTACGCCCAACATTTTTATTTTTTTTAAAAGGCATGAAAGAATTTGAAGATTTTAAGCACTCTTGTGTTTGCAAATCTGTAAAAGTTCCCATTCCATCGTCCCCCAGGTCTCACCATGGACAGACAGCTCTTCTGCTCCCGGATGACGGCACAGCAGCCCAGGAAGCCGGTTACCACCACCATGCTGCCGGCCAGAATGAGGATATATGCCGAGACAGCAAAAGTGCTGGAGGCCAGCAGACTCAAATAATCACTCTTCTCCACCAGAGTCCAGACTCCCACACCTAAAACAGCTACTCCTCCCACCTGGAAGAGAAAGGAGAGAGGAGGTGGTGGGGTTAAAACAATACTCAAATATAAATATAAAGAACACATACTATAAAACTGGGTGTAGCTTTTGGTTAAGGAAAATAAAACAATCTTGTGAGAACTATGAGGGTCAGGAAGTGACAAATAGGAAGAGAGTTCAATGCTTGATGAGTCACAAAATGCAACAACATGAGGGCGCAGTGGGTGAATTACAAGGGACAGAGGAAATAGAAACAGGCAGAAGAGGCCATACATAAGGACAACAGCAGGCCTCTAAAAGGTCAAGTCAGGGCATGATGACCACTTCCTGACAAACAATCCTGAAACATAGGGTGACGTCCAGGATCTGTTCCTCTCATCAGTGAGAGGCGGAACGAGAGGAAATGCCTCGGAGAGTCTTTCCCCTTAATTCTCCCAGTCCATTTCCGTCAAAAGCAGGATCCACAAACTCACAACAACACATGCTCAACCAAGAAGTACCGCTTAGATACTCACATGCCCGAGGGGGATTGCTCTTTGGAATAATGAAAACTATCAAATGTTTTCAACCAGAGCTCCGAACGTGGGCAGAAGCATTCAAAATACAAATGTTTTAAAGTGCTTTTAAATAGGAAGACTTAGCTTTTTAATCAAATCTAACCCAGAATCAAAACCAGTTCTTCAACACAAATACTTCTTAACATTTTAAATAGGGACGCATAAATCCAACATGTTGCGTCCGTATCAAAGTGGAAAGCCATCATATTGAGAAAGATGTTTTGAATAAGGATCTTTGTTGAAACTAATAAAAGCCAGCAATGTCCCAAAAATGTGATATTAGGGTAATAATTAAGTAAAGTACCAAGGGCAAAAGAGGAAATGGAGACAATGGCTAAATCTAAATGTCAAGATCTCACTGCCTTGCAGGCTTTAAGGCGCGTTGCCAGGAAGTCTGCAAGTGCTGAGTGCTGTCCAAATCCACAATTCATCCAGTCCACAACTGGCCTCAGGCGAACTGTCTGTAGACATCTAGAAAATGCCATTGGGTGCAGAATTCAACACACTTCCCTCATTTAACTACTCTCAACATTAGCAAAATGGAAGAGGGAGAAAAGAACACTTCCTAGTATAGCAATCTGGATTAGAATGCAAGGATACAAAAACAATTGAAAAGGAACTGTTTTTGAAAATTGTAGTTTTTTTTCCAATTTCAGACCAAAACAAACAATCAACAGTATTACTCGTAAAACAAGCAAGCAGACTCGATGTGATGATGGTGAACACGTCCCAGTGAGTCCTTAGGCTGGACATCTGGAGTCAGCCATTTTGTTTCCTCAAGGGATGAATTTTAAGGAGGTGACAGAGCGTAGCCCAAGCATGAGGGTAAAGCCTGATCCTTTTCCTCTATGTAACCTCCACCACAGACTGATCTACCTCCGTCCCTCTTCATCCCGGTACTCTCTTTCTTTGAACGTTTTAAAGCGACACGACAAACTCTGTACATTAGCTGTAAGAGCACACACTTTCTGCAGCAAATTGCAATATCATAAAGCGTGGTGCCAGAGAGCAAGATTGTTCCCCATCGTACAGAGCCTTAAATAATCTATGACTCACTTTGGGCCGAGTCCATAGCTCAGCCTTTTTGATCTCAGATCTCTGCTTTATTCCCTCCCTGTTTCCCTCTAATGCCTCTACGCATACAATGTTTAAAGGAACATCTTTACTATTTATAGCAAACATTTGGATTTCCCTTTCAATAAACATGTCTGGTGATAAAGCTGGAATCACTGTATCCATTAAAAAACGTAATGTAACTATTAGTCACTCTGAGACCTAGACAAGGATGAATTGAAATGTTGTGTCACGCTGTGTGAGTATAGTAAATTGGTAGTAAACTCAAGTCGATAGAGAGGAACAAAGTATGTGTTTGTGAGTACTACATGTACAGCTGTCACTTACCCAGAAGAGAAAGTTGAAAACAAAGAGCAGGTACTTGAGACACACCGTCAGCCAGTCCGCCTCTTCATCTTTATAAACTGCCGTCATCTTCCTTCACTTCAATCCTGAAAGTGCAGTTACAAGAGGATCATGGGAAATATACAATTATATAGCAAACAGATTGGATCCTTGCTTGAATAGCTTACACAAAACAACACTTTTCAGTCAGCAGGACTCTCAGGAAAAGAATAAAAATATGTATTGAAAAATATTGTCTCAGATTTATGAAGTTTGACTGCAAGGATGTGGTCAATAATGAGCCATTTTCCAGACTGACCTCAATTATCCATTTAACACCACTGTAAATCTCAAACTAATTGTTTAACTGTTTGGTAACAGAGTATTCCAAAAACAAAGTACTCCAAAAACAATGTGAAAATGAATTTGAAGTGTTAATATTTCTAATATTGCCCGAAATATAAAGTCAGAATACAACTCAATTTCTATCCTTTTTATATGACTCAAGTTTTGTTTTAGCATCCAACATGCTTTAGGTCTTACCTGGGGCAAAATTAAAATAAATATTAGAAAAGAGAAAAACAGCAAACACACAAATACTGACAGGTAACTGCAGCATTCAAATGAGTCAGGCAGGGGGAGGGAAACACACTCATCTCAAGTATTGTCATTAAAGAGCTCTGCGTGAAATGTGTATGGAGTTTGTTTGCCAAAAGAATACATCTGGCTGACAAATGTCACAACAAAAGCAACATCTCAGCAGGAACACCAAGTTGCTTTCTCAGCATTTACAGTTTGCCGTGAAGTGAAATAAGCTACAAAAATAAAAATGCTCTTCTTCTCACATTTGTAGGACTCTTTACAGCACATATCTCCCAGCCGATCACACAGTAATATCAAGTAGCTGTCTCAAAGGGCATTTAACTTTGACTATTAAAACAATTAATCATTCTTACAAGTATGCCACTGCAAATGTTGGATGTACATTTTAACTCCATCTGCTATACATTTACTATGTATAGCAGATGGAAGCACATGTTGCTAAGTGTTGCAGCCTCCGAGGTACACAATATAAACTTCTCTTATTATGGCCATACATGTAAAATATTCATAGCACTGAACAGGCCATAAAACTTTTAATCTTGAATTGAGATGAGCAGTTTCATGTCTGTAAATAAAAGGCCATGGGGTGGGAAGCACTTAGACCCATAACATTGATCTGCAGGGTGTCTCCCCAGTGAATCCACCAAAGGTAATGGTGCAGGTTTTGTGATTGTTGTCCATGGACTCATGCAGCAGCTCCAGTCCTTTACATATGACAGTAGAGGCTGCTTTTGTTTTTGTCATTGTTGTGAGAACCACAAAACAAGTGTTCCTATTGGACCCTAAGGCCCTAAAATAAAGTATAGTTTATGTCCACTTGATTAATCCACCTGTGACTGATTTTAGCTAATGTTAGCTTAGTTACTTCAAAGAAAAAAAGCAACAAACAGAAATGGTTTTGAATTTTGCTAAGGGAAGAAGCATGCGGTTTACCTAATAGCCTACTAGTCGAGTTATGTGTTAATTATTTTTCAATTTGATGTTTGAAAACTACGGAAGATTAGGGCCACATGAGGATAACAATTTGGGAAGCGACTGTAAACTCAGAATACTTAGAAAAAGTAAGTTTTGAGAGAAATAAATACTTGTTTTTTTCCTGAAACTCTCAGAATTCTTTGTTTATAGTCATATCTGACTTTTTCATAGAATTCTGACTTTAAATTCAGAACCCAAAAAAGTGAATATAGAATATAGGTAACAGGTGAATTAGCACCTGAGCTAACTTAGCAAGGCTCTTCTGTGACCGTTTCCCGTCCAGATGCGTTCACTGGCAATGTCAGATAACTTTACCGCTACGAAGGTTTCTTCTATGACACATGCCTTGGGGATGACGGACTTTGACCACAGCAGGTGTCCTCTAGTCTCAAGCAGGCCATAACTCAAGCTAATATGCCTCTTTTTATGCTTTGGGACACACTTTCCTGCCTCCTTTTACAAGGCGGGGTGTATGCTCGAGCATCCTGGTGATGATCCTTCGAGAAAAAACATCCCTCCACCTGCGTCGTTGATGCGCAGGACAAAGTTTAACCAGATAACCTTAGCGTCACATTGCTAAACCAACATTTTCGTAACGTAGGTCAAGAACATACTCACCACACCAGGGTTTAGTGAAGATAGATAGCCTCTTTTTGTAGTGTTTCCCGTTAATTCACAGTGTGTGTCGCTGCTGCAGGGGCGTGTATCCAGTAGCTTGTTGCTCTCAGGCTTCAGGGGGTCCGAGAGCAGGGCTGTGTGCATGACGCCTTTGGGTGCAGCTCGGATTTTCAAATTCGATAAGCATTACAGGACTCTTGCTCTCAATAATAGTCGCGCAAGCAGCAACCATAGAGATCTAGACGTAGCTTTTCTCGCTTTAAATATTAAGACTGTTCTGAAGTTTTTTTCTTTCAATGCAAACAAAGAGAATATACTTTGAACAAATTGTACTACTGCCTAATGTTCCAGGGTCAATGTTAATCAAACCCCCATTTAATTTGCAATAACATATAAATATGTTCATGTAAATAGATAAAGAGCAACATATGTCAGTTAGCCTATATTTTTAGCCTAAGGTATATTTTTGGGATATTTAAAATATAAGAAAATGCAAATAATGTCAAGTGTAATGTTGGAAGTGTTTTATTTACTAATGGCTAAATACGTAAGATATAAATAAATCAGGCTGTTTGAAATGTTGAAAAGATAGACGATCATTATCAGATTTCTTATAGTCTTTGAAGGCAGCACAGTGTGAACTTGTGGAAAGGGTCACAGTGACAGTAAAGGAAATGAAGTTGCTACCCTTAACCACAAGATGGGCTGAATACCACGTGCCATTAATAACGGCATAACCTTGGTTACAATGTAACCAAATACCACAGGAACCGTTTATCAATGAGGTCTAGATGAATAAACAGAGATAAAGAGGGAGGAAACGCAGTCACTTGGTGTGTGTAGGTTTCTTGCAATGCTAGTTTGTACATAAATAACTGTCTATGAATGCAAAGTTGAAGCCCTTATTGTTGATGTATGTATATGATTGTTATAATTTCATAAAAACCAAATATTATCTTCTAAATAAAGTCAATGAAATTATCCCTGCCCCATTTTGCTTTTGTATGGATTCCCATCACAACTTCCTCTCGGATCATTGACTATGTTGTTGCCTCTTTTTTCCACCTCAGTAATTCAATAAGCTTGCAAGCTATCAGGAGTATAGTGGCTCAAGTGGGAGGAACTCTGCAGTGGACACCTGGACTGGAGACAATCAGTCTACCAACACAACATTACAGAAGATGTGATCCATAGTTTGCCATTGTAATTATCATTCTACCTGAACAAAATGAAAGCACAGAATATCATCGCTCTGCGGGAATTTGGACACTGCCTGTTTTCCATTTCCTCATATTTGCATAGGCGACACATGGTAGAACAAACAGAAATGTGGTTTCCCCGAATGCCAATTCTATGACTAACCAGAGCCTCTGTGTCCAGTCACATTCTCCGGTAGTTAGTTTGTGGCCCGATAATGCTTTCTCCCACAGGAGCAGGCATGACTGACTGATCATCCATGCGAAACACAAAATGATTGAGGGGAAAGCTAACATAATGTGCATCAGTGTGTGCATGTGTGATTGTATGAGACACAAAGAAAAGAATGATCTGTCAAAAAATAAAAACAACAAAACCTGCACACTTTTGCATAATTCATTAAAAGTTCAAACAATATTTGACTGATTTTAAGCATCTGTTTGCTTGGATTTGTGCTTGTCTTTTTAGATGGACAGCATGGTGTTTGTCCCATTGTGAAAGTTGTATATAAAGTTAATAATGGGTTAGAATACTTGAAGGTAATATAGGTAAATACAATGTTCTTGCTTGAGCGCTATTCTTTTATCAAAATGACTTAAGAGTTAATAACAGAGAGATAGTATGTTTTAACATTTTATATGTTTTGTTTGAAAAGTTAAACCAGTAATTACAGGTTCAACTCCCAGAAGTAAAAGTGCAATGGTGTAAAGTTTGTCACTCAGCTTGTGCTTGTTGTGGCTGACCTCTTGTGGCCAGACTCACCTGGAGGCCACATGACTGACAGACAGGCATCCTCAAAAAGAGCAACTGGGGAACATCTTTAGAATGTGTGTGTGTGATAGGAAATAGCCAGGATGGACTTACAGTATAATTATTATTCACAAGTAATGCTCACATTGGCTATGATATTCTCTATTTGTGCGTTCAACAAAGAAGTTTCCTTGGGTTGTTTACAGGGTTGAGAGAGTTACTTGAAAACTGTAATCCTTTACAATTTCTAGTTATATACTATTACAAAAAATCAGTAACATAATCTTAGTATCACAATATGAAAGTAATGTAAACTAAATACTATGTCTATGTCGCTACATTTTGGTTACCTCATTATCAAATGCAATGCAATAAGAGAGAAAATAAATAACAATAAGTTGTTTTTTATTTTATTTAAAGCAACAAAACAATATGTTCTTAGAAAAAGAAGAAACCAAGATATTTAGTATAAAAAATGTGTCATCTTAAATTAAAGGCAAGGCCCAAAGAATAGTTTACTAATGCTGTTATTAGTTTAAAACATTTATTAAATGCAAACACAGTATTTATGTGTATTTAATCAGGTCTCCACCTACTGCATTAAAACTAAAAAGTATGTTTGATAAATTGATATTTATTTCAAAATGTATTATAATGTTGTAGTCCTTCTAGTTATCCCCATTTTTGAAATATGTACAAAGTAATCAGATTTCTTAATGTAACTGTAAGGGAATACAGTTTTTTTTTGTATCCTAATGACGTTTTCCGTTACACCCACAACCGGGTCGTTAATTAACTCTGTCAGAATACAATTCATGACTGTAAACATATGGAGAGTGTAAATGTGGTTGTAGCTAATCTCATAAAAATGTAACAAATGGTTTAACATGATAAGCATTATAAAATTTAGTTTTGTCATTGTAAGCTTCTGCTGCTCTGAGTTTGCACTTTAGCACTGTGACTCAATAGAGATGCTAGCATAATGTTTCTCTTCTCCTCATGAAATAGGATGAGATAAAATAACTCCCTGCTAATAAAGTTGCAAAAATCAATATGAAGAATCTGATGTTTATAAGCTGCTTAGTTTTTGCAACAGTCCCTGTAAATATACAAAACTTGTACAGTTTTCTAGACTAAACATGAGTAAATTATCCTAAGTTAAAAACAATACGAGGTAACCATGAAGTGGTTAACATCTGTATGTCGATATTAAATGTCTATATTGTTTTGCAGTTTACGGTAAATGTTTGCACGGAACTATTTGTAAACAGCGTGTTTCATGACGGACACACACAGCGTTGGGTAGGTCAGGTAGGGCAGCACGTGAAGGCCCAAATCCAAACCACACCCTACCCTCTCCCCCTCCTTTCAGGTGGAGGGTGTAAATGGATTTTGGGACGAACTTGAAGTCAGGTGCGATGCAGACTCGCTGCTTGATAACCCACTACCCCTCAACACTTGGTGGTTCGGAACGGCACTTAATGTGGCAGACCCTCCGCGCGAACGGAAGGTTAGTGTGTGTAGAGGGAAAAAACATTTTTGACCGTTGGCGCTCATCCAAATGTTCGGCCTTGATGTAACAACATTCATAATTAAGTAACACCCTTTTCACCCCGGTTACACTTTTCATTTGCCCTGAACGATGGG